ACACACACACACACACACACACTCACACATGTTTCAGTCTGTGTCTCACTGAATTTGACAGAAGGTGATCAACCCTCCTCCCTCTCTCCCCCCTCTCTCCCCCCTCTCTCCTCCCTCTCTCCTCCCTCTCCTCCCTCTCTCCTCCCTCTCTCCCCCTCTCTCCCCTCCCCCCTCAGAGATCTACCGTATCGTGTCTCAGAAGCAGATGTCGGAGCGTCAGGAGAGCGACATGTCTCCGAGCAACAACGTGGTCAACATCCAGGTGCAGCCCACCGAGAACAAACCAAAGATGCAGTGCTGTCAGAACATCTAGCTCGGCCACGGCAGCCTGCTGCTACCCCCCCAACCCTCCCTCCCTCCCTCCCCTTCCTCCCGCCCCTGGCTCACCCCCCCCTCCCCTCCCTCAGAAAATAGACTGCCTTGGCGTATCGTGAGCTGCAGAGTTCAGGTCACAGCCTCGTAGCTGTGGCTCGTCCCTCCCACTCTGCACCTGCCTCCCCCACCTCCCCCTCCTCCCCCTGCCCTAGGTGAATATATCCCAGTATAAGAAGAAGTAACCGCGTGGGGTGGCCCCCCCAAGCAGAGCCCCTCTGTCTTTAGGTTTCTGCAGGACAGCAGGCAGCAAGCATTTCATATCACTTTAGATTTCATTACTGTAGATGCGCTGACATGTCACAAAAAAGTCTTAATATATGAATGTGATTAGTTTTCTTTTCTTTCCTCTTCGTTCTTCTGCTCCTGTTGATTTCTCCTCTTTGTTCAGATCTTTCTCTGTCTTGTATCATATCTAATATTAGGTATATATGAATTTAAAGCACATCAGAGTTGCTCTTCAGTGTATCCCTATATACAAGCATCTCCTCTGTCATTTTAGCCCCCCCCCCCCTCTTTAGTGCAATGTACTGTTTTGGAAACTCGTGGATGTATCGGGCACAGTGTAGACATGTGCTCTGGTAGTAACATGCCATTGGATCTGATCGCTGTGAATATGACGCTAGTGAAACGTAGAATCTTTTGCATTTGTCGAGCTTCGGTTTGCGCCGCGGAAAGGTCGTGAGCCGGCGTGCGGCAGCGCTCACGCTCGTCAAACGTGGCGGTTGCTGTGTTTCCGGCGGTCGGTGGGTTGGGACCAGCTCTGCATGTCTTTCACAGCTGGCGCTCTGCTGCATGTTTTTATAAACTGAAAGATCTGGAATCTGAACACGATCCCTGTACATTCAGATGTTCCTGTCGTCCTTCTGTCAGTCTCCGTGTGGAAGGACGTTCTGATTGAAGACACTAGACCGTCAGGCTTTCCTGCTCCAACATAAGAGTATGCATTCTTTTTTCACACATTTGACTACAACTATGCAGAAACTAGCACATGGATGTTTGGATCTTTTTTCTCTTAGTGCACTTCTTTAGCAAATGAAGGAATAAAAAAGCAAAAGAATTCTCATTTGACATTCCTGTGATACTCAATAACACTATATTCAACAAGCTCCAGTAGTCTAGCAAGCTCTGCTTTGCATGTGAACACAGAAGTGGAGTTGTGACGCACTGAGAACGTAGGAAATGGTAAATGTCACTAGGTTGGATTTCATGAGCGTAAAATTGTCAAGATCTTGCACTGAACCTTAATAGTGGATCTAGTAAACACGCTTTCTTGTCTAGGATTAGATTTTACTGCACATGGAGAGTCTGGACCTCTGTAGTCAGATTGGAGGCACCACTCTCAGAGACGGTGCCACTGTTCACAACCAAAACGTCGTTTAGAACTCGGGCTGAGTCTCCACAGTCTTTCCTGAAATCTTCATACGAAGGAATTGAGGAAAAACTGGAGATTGAGCCGCTTTCTCACAAACCTCTGGTCACAGTGCCTCCGAAAAACACACCTCATCCACCCGCTAACAAGTCGCCGTCATCCTGCCTCCTCCCTGACCAGTAGCCCAGCCCGTGTTGTCCCTGTCACATAAAGCCTACATACACCGAGCTGCCTCTGACTTCAACACAATGCATGGCTTTCTGTATGACTGCAACTCCCACGTTGCATCGCCTTATGTATCTAACATTGTCATTACTGTCCATGAAATCTGCGGAGGGTTTGGCTCAACCAGACGATAGTCGTGTCCATTCTGTCGATCGACACCTGCCTCGCTAATGACCCGCTCGTTAAAACTCCCGGAAGTGTGCTCTGTTGAATTTCCAGGTTCTAGCCGTGTCAGTGTGTGGTGGTGTTCGCAGACGTGTACAATGCCTGAACGTGGTGTGTGTGTGTGTAGAGGCGGAGGGTAGACCGGTAGCTCTGGGGCGTTTGAGCCCGGCTGGCAGTGCCAATGGCGTTTCTTCGAACAGACGGTGCCGCCGGCCGAGCCGCTCCAGACTCACCAGCTGGTGAATCTGTGGACAAAGTGATTCCTTTCTTCTGAACATGATTCCTGATCCTGTTTCATGTACCTCCATTGTTCTGTGTTTTTTTAAGAAGTGTGTTTTGATTATTATTTTTTTTTTTTACTATATTCTATAACTGACTGTAATTCCAGTGTAAACACGTACGAGGGAAATGACGTCATTTCAATGAATCTGGAAGGTTAAATGTGAGGGGGGTCAAGAGGAATGGTTTTATGTTCTGTACAGATTGATAAATTGTACAATTGTGTCTATATCTTAAGTTATCAGTTCATCTTAATAAAGCGCACCAGTCATAAACCTTTACATGAGCCTGGACTTTACATCTCATTTATCTTCCATCGGTCCAATAGTTCGCTGATATTGATTCCTGGGAAAATCTACATTCTTTTGCCAGGTTCCTGGAAACGACCGAGTATCGTGATCAGAGTTTTCAAACTTTCTCTCATTTTCAGTATTCGCCTCACTTCAATATTTCTGTTTAACCAGACGACCACAGTTGTTGTGAAGATTCTGATTAGTAATTCTTATTGATAGTAAAATCTTCTGCTGCGTAACAAGACAGAACACCACTCCCCTGAGCTATGACAACTTTATTGAGTTTCAGGCTGGAAACAAAAACCAACAAGCAGCACATGATTTATCTTCTGTAGCTAAAACTACTGTCGGGATCAAACAAGAACGACAAAGTGGAAACGAAAGGAATCAAAGAATCAAAGTTAACGTCTGATTGTCAACGTGTCCTGTTATTGCTTTAGTGGAAACTACATTACCAGTTTTATTCAAACAGATCTGTGTATATACGGAGCTTTGTGCAGGATTTCCCACATTTGAATTGAATATTTGATGTTGTACATAGTTGTAATGACACAATTAGGAAAAACATGGAACTTGAGATCTTTGATGAATTCGTGTTTTCACGTCACTGCAACGACGACACCAAAATAAAAACATGTTTCACATAAGATCCGGTTTCATGTGGAGACATGATGATGATCAGTAATTTGCTCTAGAGGACATTAGGGTATTTCTGGATAACTATTTATCTTGAATAATCTTTGGCATGCATGTGTAATAATCTTAACACAACAGAAGAAAATCACAGTAATCATCACATACAGTAAGTGTACATCGATACACAACTTTGTCTACAGTACATACAAAAACTTCTTTTCAGAGAGAAAATACGGATCCCCCGGCAGGATCTTTAAATATGTAAACAGGAAATAAGAAACCATGTGTAAAAATACCAGAAGTACACAGGCTGTGTAATCTGAGAAGTTTCTGTGCAGTTCTTTAGATTCTTCAGTCTGAGACAATTCTGGAGTAAAGAACGTTTCCTCTGCTCAGATGTTCAGAGAGACGCTGAACCACAGATCCAAACATTTACACCAGCAGCTCTTCGTTCTGACGCGAACCAGGGCGGAGCCAAAAACACCACATCAGCATATCAGACAAAGTTCAGATATAACACACACACACACACACACACACACACA